CCAGCGACCTGGCGACCGCAAGTGCCACGTGCCTTGAAAGCTTGCACATCTGAGATCGTGCTCGAAATCTGCGCGCTCCTCTGCAAGTCAGGGAAAACCTGGTTCTCGAGGAACGACATTTTGTCCCCCTCGTTGCGGACTTTGACCTTTTGCGGTGCGGCAGTTGGCCTTCACATCAAACTCAACTCCAAGGTGGTGGCAACGTGCTGCGTGATGTCTGCGTTGGCTGTTGCGGAGTCTTCACATCCAACCTGGAGCTGGCTAAGGCAAATAGCCAAGAGTGATTTGCGTCACGCAAGCCAGCCTGAATGTGAGTGGGATCCTGCGAACGTCACCGGTAAAATCTCGAGTCCCAACACATGACTCTTCTCCCGAGGGTCCTTCGTCAATTTGGAAGCAATCTGCTTCACTTCCCTTGGCCAAGTTGCAGTGTAGAGAGCAGTTTGTCGGACCTGAGCGAAATCCCAGCAGCAATCTGGGTGCCGGAAACGCTGAGGATGGGACCGGTGGAAGATACCTTGACAGCTCCTCGATCTGCGGCTCAAAACCCATGTCAAGCCTCAGGATCCGAAACGACGATCAAGCCAAGTTAGCACTAGCTTGTGGAAGAACTGCTTCGATATGCAGCCCTGCAACGAGGCTTTTTGCTAGAAATGTCTAGAAATTGCATCCGCAAGCATGCTGTGCACTCAAACTCTGGGTGCGCAACATGCGATCGGCCTGGCAGCAAACACATCAGCCAAAGCCAAACGGCCAAACGGTCGTAAAGTGACTACAGCAGCTCAGAGGCACCAGTCGCCTCATCCAGAACCAGGTAGTCGCACCGCTGCAAGTCGATGGATCTCTCCTGGTCGCTTCTCTCTGGTGCATGGATCGACACGTCACGACCCAGTCCCGCAGGAAGTCGTTGAGGCGCCCGGGCGTCGCAGCCACACACTGTGGGCTGTTTCGCAATCTGGCGCAAAACACAGCGACGTCACCCGAACCAACCACGCAGACGGCCAGCCCGTAGCCCGCCAGCTCCGGGAAAGCCATGTCAGGAGCGCTGTCTCAGCTGCTGGCCCTTGGGCGCTCCGCCATAGACGCAGGCTGTCGCAATTTGCGCAGGCTTTCCGAACCTCGGCTTCTGGCTATGCTGGCCTAACGGAGTCGGGTGCCCGGCCGGTCACTCTCTTCGTAGATCTGCTGGCACAACTCTCCTGAGCTCCAACAGCATCGCGGTCACGTCACACCTACGTGCTGCCAGGTTGCTGGTCGGAGCCATGACCAGCATGGCAGGCCCGTTCTCATATCCTGAGCTCACTGGGAGAAAGGTGCCACCATTATCTTGCAAAAAAGCACCATGATCTGGTCAGGTCTCAACTCAATATGCTTTCCTTAACTATGCATTGATAGCGTCGCACGCCGTTCCCCTCAGCACGCTTGACCTTGATGTAACCTGCCAACAACATGACGTTCAATCCAAGAGGGCCAAGCAAGCAAGAAGCAAGCAAGCCAGCAAGCAAGCAGGCAGAGGCAAGGCAAGCAAGCAACACGAAAGAAGGCAGGAAGTAAGCAAGAAAGCGGGCAGCAGGCAGGCAGGCAGGCAGGCAGGCATGCAGGCAGGCAGGCAGGCAAGCAAGCAAGCAAGCAAGCAAGCAAGCAAGCAAGCAAGCAAGCAAGCAAGCAAGCAGGAAAGAAGGCAGGAAGTAGGCAAGAAAGCAGGCAGAGGCAAGGCAAGCAAGCAACACGAAAGAAGGCAGGAAGTAAGCAAGAAAGCGGGCAGGGAGGCAGGGAGGCAGGGAGGCAGGCAGGCAGGCAAGCAAGCAGGGAGGCAGGCAGGCATGCAGGCAGGCAGGCATGCAGGCAGGCAGGCAAGCAAGCAAGCAGGCAAGCAAGCAAGCAGGGAGGCATGCAGGCAGGCAGGCATGCAGGCAGGCAGGCAGGCAAGCAGGCAGGCAGGTATTGCACAAAGGCTTCCATTGATCACACAGCTCTTGCAGAAAATCACAAAATCGAACCTGGCAAGAGATACCCCAACGTCTTCCCGCTGCCGGTCTTGGCAACGCCAATGCAATCCTCCGGTCTCAACTCTGCAGGCTCAGCGCTGGCGCTTTGTCTCAGTCCTTTCCACTCATGAGCACGGGCCAGGTGTAGGCTTGGATCGGTGTCGGCGCCCTGCATTTGGATCTACATTTTTCTTTGGGGGCTGGGGGATTCGGGATAAGGTCAGACAATCTCCGTTCTTTGGGGGCGCTTTGCCGGATTGCCAGACTCGAGGCGCGCACCGGAAGCCCGCATCTATCAGGAACTGCATCAAGCCATTGGGGAACTTCCAGGCACCGCAACAATCGTCGAAGGACTTCCATGGGGTGACGTCCTGCCAGGCCATGCACCGCAGTCCGCAGAAGAAAAGAAAAGAAACCAACACCGAGCCTCGCCATGCAACACCCTGACTCGGTCGTCATCTTTCCTCGGCCCCGATAATGATAAACTCCGAACCCGTCTCCATACGACGAAACATCTCTCTGCCAGGACACCAGGTCTCATCGCCCCAGCTGGCTCCTGCCATATGGGCTGCAATGGAGGGCTATCACTTGTTTGGTCGAGCCAAAATGGCTGAGGTGTGAACGCCTTTGCCCCGGAGCCTTCCTCTATCGTGCCGCCCTATTGGCAACCAGCTTTCTGCTAGCTTGTCATGATGCATCTCGGGGCGAAAATTCCATGTTGAAACCACCCAATGATAGCCCTAGGAAAGATTGTCCCCCCTTCCTCCACACCTTTGGAAACCCTTCCACTTGGCTGATGTGGCCAACATTCCCAATGAAGAAGACCGGCTTGACATTAGAGCTGAAAACTTCATGCTTAATCCTTGTCATTCCTCTTCCTTTCCTTCTCCTCACGTATTGTTTCGTATATTTATCTGCCTATCGCGGTATCTGTATGTTACCTTTACTTATGCCTTTGTTTATGTCTTGTTATTATTATTATTCTTATTCATTATCATTATTATTATATATATTTCATTATTATTATTATTAGTAGTAGTATTATTATTAGTATTATTATTATTATTATTATTATTATTATTATTATTATTATTATTATTATTATTATTATTATTATTATTATTATTATTAGTATTATTATTATTATTATTATTATTATTATTATTATTATTATTATTATTATTATTATTATTATTATTATTATTATTATTATTATTATTATTATTATTATTATTATTATTATTATTGTTGTTGTTGTTGTTGTTGTTATTATTATTATTATTATTATTATTATTATTATTATTATTATTATTATTATTATTATTAATTTCATTATTATTATTAATATAATTATTATTATTATTATTATTATTATTATTATTATTATTATTATTATTATTATTATTATTATTATTATTATTTTTTTCTTATTCTTCTTCTTCTTATTATTATTATTATTAGTATTACTATTACTATTACTATTACTATTACTATTACTATTACTATTATTATTAATATTAATATTATTATTATTACGATTATTATTATTAGTTGCGTATTAAACTGCGTGTTGATCAATCTACGTTGTTTGCAATTGTTACATAGTCTTGTCTTGATTTGTACGTGCAATTAGTTCATTGTCTTGCGTGTCTTTCTCTTTATTGTGGATATATTATGCGATTTGCTGTTTATTTGCTTTCTGTTCTTTCTGTTCTTTCTATATTTATCAGTGCATTTACTCCCTAATGTCTATGCTTCTCTGTTCATGTTCTCTTGTTTTCTTTCGTTACTACTGTATCTATTGATGTGTAAGTGTCTTTACGTGCTTCAATCTGTCCATATGTATCTCCTCTGGCTGTCTGTCTTTCTCTTTCTTACTTTCTTTCTTTATTTCTTTCCTTCTTTCCTTCCTTCCTTCCTTTCTTTCTTTATTTCTTGATTTCTTTATTTCTTTATTTCTTTATTTCTTTATTTCTTTCTGTATTTGTTTCTTTCTTTACTTCTTTCTGTCTCTCCTTCTTTCCTAATTTTGTTCTTTCCTTCTTCCCTTCTGCCTTGCTTTCTTTCTTTGTTTCTTTCTGTCTTTCCATATTTATTGATTTCTGTCGTTCTGTCCTTCTTGCCTTCTTTCCTTCTCTCCTTATTTCCTTCTGTTTTCTGTTGTCACTGTTTCCGTCGTTCTTTTTTTTGTATTTCCTTCTTTCTTGCTTGCTGTCTTTCTATTTATGTTGTTCTCTCGTTATTTAGTAATTTCTTTTGATAGTCTATGTTTGCTCTCTTGCTGTGTCTTTCTCGCTCTCTCTCTTTATGTCTCCCTGTCTGTCTTTTCTCTTTTCTCTCATGTTTAGTTGCCTTCGACTGCCTGCTTATCCTCCCAGGAAAGTGGATGGCTTGGCTCGGCAAAACACATTGCCCCCCCCCCCCCAAGCTCCAGCCCAACAACTCCGTACCAATTCGACTTTGATGCGCTGTCGATGCAAGAGATGCTGCTGTCAAATGCAGGTCGTAAACCACCTTTTGCTGCCCCTCCAGATCAATCCTGACGTGGCAGCTTTGCTGCCCGTTCCACGGCCGACTCTTAAATGTGCCTCCGCACGAACCTACTGCTTCAGACGAGCGAGTCAGTGCTTGGACAAAGTCCGGCCGCTTCCAGTCTCTGGCCAATGCCACTCTCTGGCAAGAAAAACACCCAGGTCTTGGGAGGCAGCTCTCACGAGTGCTGGGATTGCTCGGTGATTGCCTCTCCAAAACCCGACAACGCCCAAGCAGCTCTCGCAGCTTCCAGGGCCTGCTGCACTGGAGCTGTCAACCAGGGTCGCCTTGCAAGCGCCTCCTGCAGCACGGTCGTGAGGTCCTGATTTCAGTGCCAATGTGCTTCAACGATTTCGTGTCGTGGGGTCCTCATCACTCAGCTGGAGAGTGCACAAAAGCAGTTTGGCCTCATTTGTCAGCTGTGCAAACTTTGCAAACTCAGGCCTTGAGCCCTGGACCGGCGGGAGCTTGGACTGCCTCTGCGGCATTTTTGCCTGCGGATCTCACACATGGGCCTCACATTGCACCCGAGTGAGCAATTTTGGCCCCCATCTACATAGTGGCAAAATGAGCCCTTTAAGCCATCCTCAAGACGCATGGATTGACAGCAGCGCTGCTTGCTCTCACATGCATTTCTTTCTCTCCAGACTCTGCGAAATCCACAAAAGCGACTTTCCAGTCAGCCGAAAAGGCAAAGGAAACACTCTTGGCGAAAACTGCAGAGCGTTCCTGCGCAAATGCGTCTGTGTCGTCGTCCATCACTGCGGTAGCAATTGCGGTTGCCTGCCCGTGCAAGTTCCAAGGATCTTGGGAGAAGGGATTTTCACTCAAGCAAACAGAGGCAACAAGACTACAAATCTGTCTGCAAACTTAGCAATGGCAAAGGAGACACATGCCAAATGGGGATTGATCAAAACGTCCATTGCATGGGATGACCATTGGTTGGACCGCCAATAAACAAAAATGATGTCCCACTGTGTGGGGGAAGTTACCCATGGTCAAAACTGGGGGCCGAGCGGAATATTGAACAACCGCGAATGACAAATGCCCCCTGAAGAATCTCCATGCAAGCAAGCGGCAGTAAGCTGGGCATCAAAGTGATCCACCTGGCCAATGCCATCTCCGCACCAACGAAAAGCACCAACTCTGAGAGACTCGCCTCCGGCTCACCTGCATCCAAAGAGCGAGTGACCATATGAGAGACGCACTTTGGGGCCCTGGAAAAACAAATAGGTCGCCAAAGGGGGCACGAGCTCATGCTGCACCTGTGAGTTGGCTTCTGCCCCGCCTGGAGCTCCATATGGCCTCAAAAGAACCGGCAAATCCCATGGTTTCGCTGGCCAAAGATTCCGTCCATCGCATCGGCTCAGCTCCCAGCGGAGGCGGCGGTACAGGCTGCACGTGCCAGGCGTCAGTCTGCGACTCGACGCGGAATCGCCGACTTGCGAACTCCCAGGGCCCTTCTGCCCCGCCGCCCCGCCGCCCCGCCGCCCCGCCGCCCCGCCTCCCGCAAGCGCATCTTGTTCGCCGTCGCGGTCGACTGCACAAAGGGAGTCAAAAGAGAGAAAAAGGCGCCAAGGAACAAGAAAAAGCGCCTCGCGGTCCAGCATGTCCTGAGCGCGTGCGAGGCCGAAAACGAGTGGTCTGATCCAGGAATCCGAACCTGGCTCTGCAGGCCAACGGGCTGTGGCCCAACCCTGGCGCTAAGCCGGGCAAATCTGAGGTTCTAAACCTGGCATGAAAATGGCCTACCTAAATGAAAAAAATAACAGAAAGGCGGCCCCGCACCTTCTGGTTGGCACTGTCCCTTAACCTTCAACACGGATCCTTACATTATACACCTGAACATTGCCTTGTACATGGCGGTTACCCTTTGTTTCGGTGGAAAAAGCCATGTTTCAAATGGTTGCAACATGTATCTACGAAGCCCTGTTCAACTCCCCGCGTTTTGATTCCGGCTCACGCGGCCTCAGGCCAGGCGGAGGCGGCGCAAAGTCCTGACAAACTCGGGGGTCAGCCTCCCAGAGCCGCCGGCCCGTGCCTGGACGTTGCTGACCGGGGGCCTCACGACGGGCACGACTCTTGCCTACTTGGAATGGTGCTATTGATGCCATGCGCACGTTGCGTTGCTATATTGTTGCTGCTAGCGTTTCTTGCCACCTGCTGAAACATTTATTGCCACATTGGCATCTCTCTTGTGCCATCCCGGCGTCATAGCTTGCTAGGATTCTCTGATCGGTACATCCCCTCCACAAAGGAGACGACAGGTTCAGGGCACTGAGTAATCAGGTACATTGCCGTTGTTGTTCAGACTCGTGTGCATGTCAACACATCCTACAGCGTTGCGGTGCCAAGGAAACCACGAGTATGGCAGGGATGGTACATCAGAGCTGCGGTCGCAACTGATCGAAAGGATGAGCAGAACGACCCCATCCTCGAATCCTTTGACCAAGGAGGTATTTGTGTGCGTGTGTGTTGCCTGCCACTTGTGTGTGCGTGCGTGCGTGTCTTTGCAGCAACACTTGCTCCCATTCAGAAACCTGAGATCTGCGCTGTCCTCCCAGTCTGCCCTGCTCAGGCTCATTCGTTGCCAGGTCGGCAAATCAGGGCAAACCCACGCACAAGAAACGACAAGGTTGCTTCAGCGCCTGTGCAACTGGAGACGTGGCTAGGGGCTTGACCTCAGGTTGCCAATCTGTGTGGCTGTCTTTATATGGTGGTGTCTTTTTCGAGGGTACCCTGTTGTGAAAACCACCATTTGAGGGGTCCCCTAAAAAACAGCACACCCAGATTGCCTCTTTCTCCCCGCCTCACAGGCTTGAAATCTGAGTCCACAGCCCAATTGCCTGGCGCCATACTTGGCACGCTGTTCCTCGGTGGGCTCAGAAAAAATCTCTTGCACAGCGGTTAAGGCCAGGTGCAACTCAGCGGCAATTGGGTGCGCTGGCCCTTGCCGTAGTCACTCGGCCACCAGTCCTGCATATCTGCCTGCGCCTTGGCTGCCAAAAGTCCAAGCCGTTTACACAAAAAACACTTCGCCTAGGGGGGGCGGGGCTTGTGTCCAAGGCAGCTGCCGGGGTTGCCTGTCTTTTGAGATTGGCCGTCCTGTCTGCCTAAGCACTCGAGCGGCTCTTCCCCCGCCCCCTCACGCTGTCAACAAAGAAGGCTACCTGCACATACACAACTTGTAGGAATTATTCATGGCCAAGGCATCTGTATGAGTGTGATATTTGCAAGAATCATCTGTGTATATGAATGTATGTTGAGAGAGAGAGAGAGAGCAAGCGAAAAAAAAAACGAAAAAGAGACATGCATATATATATATATATATATACATGGTGTTTCTTTGTATCTGCGTATGTATGTATGTATGTATGTATGTATGTATGTATGTATGTATGTATGTATGTATGTATGTATGTATGTATGTATGTATGTATGTATGTATGTATGTATGTATGTATGGATGTGTGTCTGTGTGTATGTACGTATGTACGTATGTACGTATGTACGTATGTACGTATGTACGTATGTACGTATGCACGTATGGACGTACGTGCGTATGCACGTATGTATGTACGTATGTACGTATGTACCTATGTAGGTATATGTATATATATATATGCATCTATGTATCTATGTCTCTATGTATCTATCTATGCATGTTTCTATGTATCTATATCTATGTATCTATGTATCTATGTATCTATGTATGTATGTATGTATCTATGTATCTATGTATCTATGTATCTATCTATCTATCTATCTATCTATCTATCTATCTATCTATCTATATATCTATCTATGTATCTATGTATCTATGTATCTATGTATCTATGTATCTATGTATCTATGTATCTATGTATCTATATGTCTATGTATCTATGTGTCTATGTATCTATGTGCTTACGTATGTATGTATCTATGTACTTACGTATGTACGTATGTACGTATGTATGTATCTATGTATCTGTGCATCTATGTAACTATGTATCTATGTATGTATGTTTCTATGTATGTATCTATGCATCTATGTATTCATCTATGTATGTATGTACGTATGTATGTATGCATGCATGTATGAATGTGTGCATGTATGTATGCATGCATGCATGTATGTATTTATGTATGCATGTATGTATGTATGTATGCATGTTTGTATGCGTGTATGTATGTATGCATGTATGCATGTATGCATGTATGTATGTATGCATGCATGCATGTATGCATGTATGTATGTATGCATGCATGCATGTATGTATGTATGTATGTATGTAACATACTGTATGTATGTATGTATGTATGTATGTATGTATGTATGTATGTATGTATGTATGTATGTATGTATGTATGTATGTATGTATGTATGTATGTATGCATGTATGTATGTGTGTATGTATGTATGTATGTATGTGTGTATATATGCATTCACTTATGTATTTTTGCATATAGCTAGGCAGGTTGGTATGTTTAGGTAAGCAGGTATGTCACAGGAGCGCCGGGCAAGCCGTCCACCGAGGTGCCACCTTCTTTTTACGCTCTGCAGAAGGTTGTGTATAAGTTCTTTTGGACAACAGGGATCCTTACATGGTACACCTGAACATTGCCTTGTAAATGGTGATGTCCCTTTATTTTGGTGGAAAAAGCCATGTTTCAAATGGGCAAAATGTATCTTTTAAGGAGCCCTGAATGAATTTCTTGAAACAAACATCCAGTATGGTCCTCTGACACGCGCTATGGGCAGCGTGCTTTAATGGATGGCATGTTGGACACAAGAAATGCTCCTTACCTCTTTACCTGCTACCCCTTACTGGCGTACTGGCGGGGGGGAAAAGATGTTAGAGGGCAAGGGGCGCAAATAAGAAAGCAGGCCTGTAATGTCGGCGGCCTGAGCCGGAGGCGTTAAGATATGTTGTCTGCGTTGTCTTCTTTCGTATGAAATATTGCTTCTTCGCGTCTTAGTGCAGCTGTGCTTGCCTTTTGATAGGGGTTGAAAGTGACATCCCACATTCACTTTTCAGGTGCCATGGTTGTCTCACCACATACAATTCGAAGAAGCAAACAACTCGAGTTGAAAAAAATACCGCGCCTTTTTCGATGTGCTTCGATGCAGTTAAGCCAGCTTCAAACAGAACAAAAAAAAGACACTGAGAGCATGACATCACGATACAATTGTTACAGTACATTTCAGTACATTGCATTAGATCACGCCGCGTCACATTATATACATTGCTTTGCGTTGCATCACATCACATCACATGCATTGCATTACATCACATCACGTCACATTCAACTACACTGATTGCATTACATCACAGCACATTACATTCCATTGCATTGCATTACCATACACTACAGTAGGTTACATCGCATTACGTTCCATTGCCCTGCATTGCATCCGGCGCAGTAAAGTACAACACAAGCAAATACAGTGCCTCACCCGGTACATCACACATGGAAGCCGAGCTCGAGAAGCATTCCGAAGACTCGGCCTCTGGCCGCCTGCCGCAAAGCCTCGCAGCGTCGCACCGTGAAGCAGACCTGGCAAAAGGACGACTGTGTCTCTCAGGCAAGCAGTGGCACGATCCAGTGCCCAAGTCTTGAACCCCCCATGTTTGAGTCGAGAACAGAGACCTTGGTTGGTGTTCGAAGAGAAACAAAAACTCTACCGAAACATGAAATGAGCAAATACCCTCCCACAAATTAACAAGGAACCTGACAGGGGGTCCTGAAAGACCATATTCCTTTTACAGAGACTGTTCAAAATACCGATGCCAAACCTGAGGAAAGACTCTCTCCCCTGCTGCCCCTGGTATACGAGTCTTTGTCGGGCCAGCCAGTTCGAATATCGCTGACTTCGTCAGGAATCGAGGCATGCACCCGTGACTGTACAATGTGGGTCTTCCGTGCCCAAACGGAGTTGAGCAAATCCACCCCGAAAGGTGGTCCCTAGTTTTTGGACGCACACACCCAACTTCACTTCTGGTGAGGATCAAGTGACTTCCTGGCTGGATGCAGCCTCTAAAACTCTTTGGAAGAGAACTCAAGTGGGAAGAAGCCGCGTGAAACGCTGCCGCTTTCACTTGGAACTCTCACGGCCGCGGCCCCCTTCGTCGGCGACGCTCACGTCGCTGGCGCGGCCGGCTTCTTCAGCTTCTCCTGCGCCACGCCGCGAGTGGACTGTGGGTCAAAAATAGGGAAACCCACAAATGGGTTGCCCCAGCAAGTGGAAACATGGACCGGTCCAATTCCTGGTTTAAGTTTGACCCATACCCAGTTGAGCCATCCACAAGCGGCTCCTCTGCGAAGCCCTTGGCCGCCATAGCCTCTGGGTCCATGCGGTACTCCGGAGCCGCGTACCTACACCCACTGGTCACAAACTGGGTAACCCCAAAATGAGGGTAACCCCTAGTAAATGGACTATCACCTGCGGTCCCAAAATTGGGTGTAAATGTTTGACCCATACCCATTATCGTTTCTTGCGACTTCGCCGTGGTTCCCGCCTAAGCGACACGGCATTCTGCAGCACGGCTTCCATGACGATCTGGCGCAAGCCAAACTCTCGAAGGTCGACCCATGGTGCCCATGTCATGACACCAGCTTGCATCCCCGAGCTCATAGAGCCAAGAAAAAAGACACCACTCATCTACCGTTCCGCGATGGACTACTCGCGGCAGAGGTGTTCTCAGGAGGTTTGCCCTTGCGTCAATTTCGCATACAGGGACTCCAAAAGCCCTTGCATGGAGAATTCCATCGTAAAAGGAGCTGAACAACCACCCAAGGAACGCAGTGGCACAGCCCAAACTCGCCCATGGCAAAACCAGCCCAGGGGTCAAATATCCGATTGGCACAACACGCAGCCATGTGACCTCCTTCTTGCGCCGCAGCCGCATCGAAGCAAACTGAAGCGCGAGGCCTTGCCTGAGGCCAATGTGAAAGCCTCCCGAAACCGCACCAGGCTTTGTCTGTTGAGGGCACCCCTTGTTTGGTTTCGCACCCAAGGAAAGCCAGCATTTTGAGGCTACCCCTTGCGTTGTTCTCTCTTTTTCCTTTTTTTCTTTTTCGGGGAAACCAAAGGAAAGGCCACGGTCGCCCCGAAAAAGACACACCCACCGCCCATTTCGAGGCCGATCAAACCACTCGGTGCCAGGCTGAGCCACGGCCGCCTTCACCACTCGCTCGTCGTCCCGCAGTTCGGGCGCCAGGCAACTGGCGACTCGAGCGAGTTCGGGGCTCAAATCGGCTGAAGCCCAGGCTGAAGCGGTCAAAAAGCGGATGAGGTAATTGAAAGCAGGGACGAAGGACTAAACCCTGCAGCCCACTTCACGGTTTGACTTTGACCCATACCCATCTGACCTTTGCCTCGATTATGACGTTGCTTCTCCCATGTGAACACGTGCAAAAAAAGGCATAGCGGGTTCTGCTGGAATGTCGAACCGGAAACCAAGCAGAAATCGCAAAACTCTGTGCGCCGCAAACCGCGCCTCAACATCATGCCGTACTTCCGCAGTGCAAAAATGGCCACCTGCACGCGGCCAGGCACCTGAGAACCTTCCCTCCCTGAAAGTCTCCGCGGCAGCCGTTTTGCAACGAGGCGCATCCTTGTCCTTGCGGAAAATGGCCGGCGCATAGCGAAGCGCTCGCCCGTCTCGCTTGACCACCTCACTACTCTTGCAGCACCGGAGCGGCGATGCAACGGGCTCTCAGGACAGCACTTGCACCCAGAAGCGCTTGCCTTGGGAGAAGCACTCTGATGAGTCATGATCAAAACACGGCAGTAAAAACAGATCTACCCAGAACCATGTAAAGGATTCAGAAGGCGGACGCAACCATTTATGATTGGGATTGCCCCTTACCAGCCCTCATCTACCCGGGTTCTGATTGTGGCTCCTGTGGCATTGCACCGCACCGCAGCGGAGTGCAGCCAAGGAACTGAAGAGCAAGTCCTGATTGGCCCACTGTAGGCATTCCGCGTGCCTTGCCTCAGTTTTTAAGGGCGACCCAAAAAGACCCCAGACGTGCCAACTCAGGTCTGCACCGCCAACTCGATCAGGAGCTCCGTTTTGCGACGCAGCTCCTGCGCAAAGATCCAAAGCCACGCGGATCCGGTACCGCGCGGCGTCCTCTGAGGCGAACTGTAGAGCTGAGCCCTCCTGCATGCAGGCGGTGACCACGACATCGCCTCAGAAGGGCGGCAGGTGGAAAGCAAAGGCAAGGACACATATCGAAAAATGTGAGCAACACCATTTCAGCCCCAAGCTGTCGTTCTGCAGATCCTGCAAGGCAAGTGGCAAAGTGGGGTGAGATATGTTTGCCGTTTGGATTCCAGTCCTCAGAGGCGAACTCCAATGCCATGGGACTTCGACCCACTGCCGCCAAGACAACCTGGGGCGCCAGGGCTACTGCGCTCTCAGTGAACTCGACTGCCTCCTTGTCGTGGCGAAGCGCATCTGAAGCCTGGTGTCTCTTGCGCTCAGCTCAATACTCGCACAACATTTCAGATTTCACTCGCCTGCTTCAGCGCCGTTCCGTTCTGCTGCACAGCTTGCAGCACGACCTGGAACCAAAACCCTGACGTCCCCAGCCGCCGCCTTTCGGTCCTTCGGTTGTTGCGCCTCTCGGTCGTTCTGCAGCTGCCGCGAAACGAAGGCCAGCGCAAACCCTCGCGCCCGGCGCACGCTGGACTGTTTCAACACATTGGCTCTGAGGAGGAGGCCATTCTTCCGCACCGCTTTCAGAGCTGCCTTCAAGGCTTGCTAAGTCCAAGTCAACTAAAGGCCTTCGAAAACCTTGGTGCCTCATGTATGACTCCGCTTCACTGCGGTGACTGCAGTGGACACTGCCCGAGCCCACCTCTTTCTCTCGGCAAAGGTCCTCCTCCTGAGAGAAACATACTCTGCCAACGGGATTCCAGGATGGCAACTGCCAACATTTGCTCATGCCTCGTCAGAAGGCGCCTTGCTGGCACCGACTTGCACATCGGTCGGGAGAGTCAGCAAGAGTTCAGAGCAAGTCGAGCCTCTGAGACGCCGCCGTCACCACAAGCAGTGACCTGGCAAACTGGAGGCTACACAAAGTGATACAGCTCGTGAGTGAATCAAGTAGATCGAAAAAAGAAGAGGATCTCCAAATTAGAAAACACTCCGAGCAACGGCTTCCTGTTGCCCAAAGCCACGCCTCATCGTCCGCCCGTGCCTTTGCCTGCCATGTGAGGGCCCGCCCTGGGTCCCACGGGATGAAAGCCAAAAGACAAGTGCCGGCCTGCATGCGAAGGCCCTCTGCGCTCGAGCGGACTGGAACTTCTCACGAAAGGGATTGGATCCTTCTGGAAGCATCTGCTTTGGACCTTCCAAGGGCACCTGATTTGAGTCTTCGCAACACACCGAAATCTCTTTCAACCCTCAGCTCTGTTGAAGGCCCAGCTTTCGGTGGGTCTTTGGGTCTGACTTCTTGCGCCAAGCTGGGAGCCGAAATCCAACAAACACCGCTGAGTCTGCACAAATCGAGGAGTGTATGTCTCAGCCACTCTCTGGCAAGCTCTCTGTCAACGAACCAAACCGGCGGCAAAACAGGCATCCGGACTCTGCAAACGTCCACGTCGAACTCCTGTGCCATCCTGAGTGCCATGAGCCCCCGTGCGACTCGCGGCCAACTCAAGTGGCTAGGGGTCAAAACCCAAATCGTACCCCAAGTGAACATCCCAATCCAACCACTAAAATAGGTTCAAAAATGGGTGGTGAATTCACCTATCCCAGAATAGCACCATTGGTTTTGACCCATGGCCAAGTGTTTCTCCTGGTGAGGTCCGCCCACGCGCTGATGCCATTGGCAGCTACGATCAGGTCGCCCTTCTGAATCTGGACGCGCAAGACGCGCGAGACGCACGTGAGACGCGTCTCCCAGACCTGCCGAGGCCATTGGCTGCGTTGATTCCAGCCGTGGGCATACCCTCCAGGCGCAACCTGCGAGGCTCAGGTCCCCGAAACAGGGGAAAAACCTCAGGCCAGTGACGCGGGCATTCGTGAAAACAGCGTAAACAGACTGCGCGCGGTGTTGCACATCGAGCCTGACCCACCAGCAAACCACAGGCACCGTAGCCCTGCAGCGAACACTCGCGCCCACGGGCGAAACACGCTCGGCTCGCGGACCGTGACCATCATGACATCCACACCGAGCTTGTGCCCGCGGGGCTTCTCGATGTCAACCTGAGGCAACCACGTGCCCAGACCAAGGCACTCACGAGACACGCGCCTCGAAGGTGAAACCGTCCTCTCCCATGCCCGAGCCGGGAGGTCCGGGAGGTCCCGGAGGCCCCGGAGGTCCCGGAGGCCGAGCCTGCACCGGGACCAAAACCCTCTCTCCGCTTGTCAGCGCATCAGGCACCTCGTCTCGCCAGCCTAGTTGCAATGCCGAAGCCCACTGCACGCAAACGGCCAATCTGGGCGCGCAGCCGCTCAAGGCCATGTCCTTGGCCATGGCAGCTGGCTTGTGAAGGCGCAAAATCCGCTCTGACCGGGAACAAGCAGGCTGTGCCCGGTCAGGGCGTCAGCTTGCTCCTCGTCATCATCATAATTGGGCAGCAGCAGCAGCAGCAGCAGCAGCAGCAGCAGCAGCAGCAGCACTAGCAGCATCACCCGCAGCTTCTCGGTGCTGCATCATGATCTCCAGGATCTGGTGCTGCACGTCAAACATCACCCTTGGCGGCCAACCTTCGTGTGGACAATGCTTGGCTCCCGAACAATATCAGCGAACCGCGCGGGTGCAGCAATCAGTCAGCATCTGGTTGAGCAATACCAAACTCCCAGCTGTTGAAACTTCGCGGCAGCTGTGAGGAAGCCCAACATGGAGAGTGGCCATCCTGGTATCCTCCTCTGAATGCATCAGGGTTGCAAAGATTCTTGCTACTCAATCGAAATCATTGGCTGCTGGACTTTCCCCTTGGCCTCCGGCAGGGAATCTCCTCAAAACATTTGATTTGCCTACTACCTCAGAGGTGTGAGCAGCGGTGCTAGCGGCAGCAAACAGCATATCCGTTTGTTGCGACGCATCTCAAGGGAAAGCAGCATGCCATTGCCTGGCTTGGGAAACAGCAAGAGAGAGTATTCACTATAGAGTAGTAGATAACAAATTCCCTTTTATCATTTAAGTGTAGAATGCCATCTTTGATTAGCTGCAATCTCTGTTAATGCTGATAACATTGTATTATTAAGCAAAACTATTTGGGTTAAAAATGGTTGTAATACATTTTCTTCTGCACATAAATTCCAATAACACTAATCTAAAATAATATGTTGTTTCTCAATGTCTTGTTTTACTTCTTCTGATATTAAATTTGTATCACCAATGCTTTTTGTATTTGAACATATTTGTCTATTAAAAAAATGTAGAGCTGAATCAATGAAGGAATGCAAAGATTGGGCCACGTGCGTGAACTTCAGGAATCACAGCGCTCGCTATTCTCCCTTCAAACCCCTTCAGCATGCTCCGGGCACACAGTGAACACAACGCTGCAAAGCAGAGCAACGAGGCAAAACTTTGCAGAGGACGTATAACGCGACAACCCAGTTGGATCTCGTGCCATGTCATACGTTGAGATCCGATGTCCATCATGTTCGTCAAATCCGCTGTCGCGAACGCCATATGCCGAATTTGTTTGGGCGGGAACTCTTGGGACCGCTGAAACCCGTCTATGTTGGTCAGGTGGTCGGTCAAAGGGATGGTTCTATCACCACAGCGACAAAAACCTGGTGAGGGCTCCGTCGCCTTAGGGCCGGGCACCTTTGTATCCCATGGACCTGCGGGTCCCCCGGTCCCGTTGCGTGTCGCATGGTCAAGTTGTGCGTGCCTGGACTGTCCTGGAAGCGAAACCGGATCTGGAGCCTCCCAAGTTTGAGCTGGGAAACAGGAAGTCGCGCACTCACCGGCCTTGAAGGACGGCCTGGCAAAGGCATGCTTGCGCAAGGGTCTTTGGGTCCGCTCCCTGCCTGGCTGAGGACTTGGCACCTAAGGGGCAAACGGCAAGGCCCAAACCTGCCTAGCCAAATCCAATGGCGCACCAGAGGTGTTAGCGCCAGTCTTGCCAGCCCTGACAAGCCCGAAAGGGCACGCTTTCGTATGATGCATCAGAAAAAAAGAAGAAAATAAAAGAAAGAGGATCAGCAAGCTCACGCCTGCCCCATCCTTTCTTCCCACCTGCAGCTGGGGCGATGCAGTTTGGCAATGCAAGATGACTGGGCGGCTTTGCCTGCCATGTCTGCAAGGGCATCTGGCTTCCTGAGCAAGGCCACGGCAGATATGTGCGTGTGTGTGCATGCGTGTACACCTGAATATCCATGCAAAAGCTGCAGGTGTGACACCAGCAACACTCCAGTCCTCATAATGGTGATGCGCAGCTCGGAACACGCACGCATCTCCTCGCATGCTACGCATTGCTACGCATGAGACAATCCAGTCCGGACGCCCGTCCTCCATCAAGGCAGTGATATCATTGAAAACGCCATTAACCTGGACTATGTGGTCACCTGGCCACGTTGCGGTCCGCTTCTCGCGACGCATGCAACGCCGGGACCTGCTTGAACAGCGAATGCCTTGGAGATGCGCCAAGGCACGCTTTGAGAAGCTCGAGAACCCGAGCCACCGGCATTTCCTTTGCACTGGTTGTTCCAAGCAGATACCGCACCGCCCCTAGGCTCGCATCTCTCACGGATGGGAATCAGTTGCCACAGTGCCCGGCTTCAAAATCTGCTTCACAATTAGGCAGGGCATGTCGGGTGCCTAGGCGAAATCCACAAATGGACCTCAAAATGAAAGCAACCCCCACAAAAACAAAAACAAAAACATGGACTAAAAATGGCCAGCGCTTGTGACTTCTTCACCCTGCGACCATAGGTGGCCTTTTGGAAAATTAGATGGCCCTGGTAAATGGAAGAAACCCCGCCTGAACCAGTGCAATCTAGTTTTGATCAATCACCTCACAAGGACACCTATGCCTGTGACTCCGCTGTTCTTGGCTCCAGTGGCCGGCAGCGTGTCGATTCCCAAGAAGGCGCCCGAAGGCTTCATGAGGAGCACCTGAAAGGAAGGAAAAAGAAGAAAAAAGACGGAGGAACCCCCCCCCCCTCCCACACAAATCGGTGCACGTATTAATATGCTCCTGTGTGTGACATGTCATTGATTTATTGAATTCTGTTTATATATATATATATATATTATTGTTATTGTTGTTTATTTTTAGAAGAAAAAACAAGAAGAAAAAACTGGAAGAACATGGGCCCCTAAAAAGCGAGCTGAAGAAGAAAAGCAACGGCGGAAACAAGACAATCCCTGAAGAAGCGGAGAAAAATGGGATATCCCACAAAAAGGCGCCGCTCTGAAGCTTCAAACTCCCGGTCTCTCGCCTCGAAGGTGAAACCATCCGGTCCCATGCCGCCAGCCTGCGACAAGCCCAGCCCAACCCCCAGCAACCCCCAGCCCCAACCCGCGCTCGAAGCTCCCCCCCCCCCCCACCTGAGCTGATCTGGCCATGCCTCCAATGGTTCAAGGGAAAACGTTGAATGGAATGCTTACCTGCTGGCAAAACGAGATCTGTTGGCGAGTGAGCAAAAACTCGGCGAAAAATGGCCTGGCCTGGGCCTCTCTGTACCACACCCACATCGGCCCTCATGTCCTCAAACAGGTGCTTATGTATGACAGCAAGTGGGTGAAAGCACGTGTAAAGCAAACTGCCACAGAGGTCAACGACAAGACTGAAGAAAACTCACACGCACACACGCACGCACGCACGCACGCACGCACGCACGCACGCACGCACCCACACACACACACACACACACACATCAACGCGGGCTGTTTCTGCTATGGTCACCCAGCATCGCCAGCTGTGTCTCAAGGCGACTGTATTCGGCTGGAGGCCTAAGCGTCCCGAAAGACCTTCGGGCGACTCGAGCGGTTCGGGGCTTTCCCGGGCCAATTTCAGCCCAGCTATGTACAAAGCGACAAGTCTCAGCTTGCCTCGCAAAAGCGCCTCACCTTGTGGGCCTAGTAGGCACAATGGAACGACACCGCTCAATTGGAATGAAACCTTCAACCAAGAAGCCCACAAAGTAGAAGAAACTCTATTGCGAAACCCTCGTGACTTGCACAAGGCCACACAAAAAAGAACCCAACGGACAAACTGCACCACACATCCAACTAATCCAACCGATGCCGGGCCTCCGCCACCTGCCCGGCGCCTGTGGTTGGCGCCACATATCCAAGGGCTGGGCGGCCGGCGAAGCAGCCGTCCTGGCGGTCAAACGGGCTGATTTGACGGGAAAATGAGAGGTGCTTATTTTTTTGAGTCGAGGTTTGGCCGCGCCATTGCCTATGCCTACGGCAAGTCACATGGTTGCCCCCTGCCAAAAGTGACGAGTCGACGCGCGCAGCACCTGGTACTGCTCTGGCTGCTTTTGCACCTGCGTCATGTGCGCCGTTCATTCGTTGGCCCTTCTCTCCTTACCCCTCTTTGCCCCTTTTCACCTCCCCCCCCCCCGGTTTGGTTTGAACCTTGGGGGGGGATGGGGGGGTACCCCTTTGATTTCGCCGCCTGCCCTCACGGCACAGTTCCGCCTGTGGCTCCCACTCCACCGGGTGCAGCTTCCGGCGCTTTGCCGCCCGGTCCGCGTAGAGCAGCTCCCGCTGCTGCGCTTCGCGCCTGAGCTCGAAGCTTTCCACTTGAGTCACAATCAAAACCGATTCGGCATTCAAATGGTCTACCCAGAACCATGTAAAGAATCAAGAAGGCGGCCGAAGCTGTTCATGGTTGGGATTGTCCCTTGCTAACCTTCATCTACCCGGGTTTTGATTGTGGCTCATTTGTGTCTTGTTTGCTGAGCTGTCCTCAGATCCCCCGCTCGTGGGTTAAATGGAAATTCCCACGAAGCACCAAAAAGCTAAGGCATGCAGTGATGCTAGCAGTGCTATCTAGGTATTCTACGCGAAGCAGCGCAAAGTCCAATTTGTCTACGCTACGCATTTCTCAAAGCCCTTGATCCTATGTTTGACAGAGGAAATACTCAGTGCTGATAGCCTGCTGTGGCTCAACAGAAATAGTAGATAAAGGCAGATGAAAACTTGGCGTGACTCAGATCAGCCTGACAATGAAGCAATATGTTTCTGCTGTCTGAAGGCTAGTCATTGGTTGCGCATCCCCTATCCCACGAGTACCAGGTTGCGGTCTTGGACCACACAGGTCATTCATACGGGAATGGAAGTGACAAAGCACTCTGCTTCAAAGGTCAATGCTCTGCTTCTGGTCCCACCTTAATCATGTCCACTTCCATTGCTTCCCGCCTTCCAGAAATAATCAGCTCATGTCCAGTATTTCCCACCTCCCCGAAATAATACAAATGCATTTCCACTTCCCACCTCCCGGAAATAATAACAAAATGAATGTCCACTTGTTGCTCAGGGCCGAAGTGAAGGAGGAGGAAATAACCAAATGTGTCAAGTTGAATATCTCGCCGAGACCAAGGGGACGGAAATCAAACGCGCAACCATCCCGCCTCGCTCAGCGCGGCTTGGGATCAGCAAGGAAACAGAAATCACACCAAAAATTGTGGGTGTAGGGAAGGGAAGGCGTAGGGTCAGCAGGTTTCAGACATCTCATTTGAGCTGCATGTTGCATGTCAGCTCTGACATCTAAGCTGTTCCATGTTTTGAGGCAGGCAACCTTTTTACCGGTTCTCCTCGTCTTTGGGGTTGTCATAAAAAATAAAAATAAAAAAAAAAAAAAAAAAAAAAAAAAAAAAAAAAAAAAAAAACGCGTTCACTCTTGAGGCCCCCCACAGTCGCTTTTGCCCTGGGCGGAACATGCGACAGCGACTTTCACCAAGCCGCCGCTCCGAAACACTCGCCTCGCCGCACACGATGCGCCGCAGGGCGCGGTTCAGCGCCCGTGCCCGGGCCGTGCCCGACAGAGCGCGCGGCACGAGGGGTTCCTGGCGCGCCATCCGGCGCCACCCGGCGCCACCCGGCGCCACCCGGCGCCACCCGGCGCTCGGCGCGCCACCCGGGGGACCCCCACCCGGCCCCTGCGTCCTCGTTAGCTTCGACGCGTGCCCTTTCAGATGCACTCGTCGAAGCTTCCAAACGAACATTTAAGTTGGCTCAAGGCCTGTGACCTTTCTGAGACCCTCCATTCAGAACTAGCTGTGTCGTTTCCAGATCAAGGCCAATTCGGACATGATTGACACTTTGGTTGCATCGTGTTTGCTTCGAAGACCAGTGCCGTGCTTCAAGCACTTGCTTTCACAAGTTTAGCATAGCTCGGGCTTGGGCCTCGGACCTGCTTAAGATTCCCATCACATCATGGGTGTTGCTGGCCAAGCAGTTGCAAATCTGGCAAACACAATCTCTTGAAAAAGGTGCTGCGGCGAGTGTGCTTTTGGTCAAATCCTCTTAGAATTCGCTCTTCATGAGAAGAAATTACCCGCCGGCCATGCTTTACCATGTTTGATCTGGAGGTGATTGATAAGAAAAAGGTTGAACCCTGGAACTGTTGGGTGCAATGGGTTGAAAAACGACCCGGGGAAAACGAGTCATTGGACCTGTCATTCCTCTTGAAAGAATCAAGCCTGCCAGCGCTAATGTTTCTTCCATAAAGCTACACTTCCAGTCGTTGGGTGACCGTGGCACGCGAAGCTTCCTCTTTCAAAATCCGTGGTAGCTGAAGGCATTTCTGGAGACTGTCGGCCATATGGCTGTGGGTCAAAAATAGGTACCAAAATGAAATGTAGTAAATAGAAACATGGACTTAAAACCTGTGGTCCCCTGATGGTGGTGTTTTGCCCCAGACTCATACGAGCTCTGAGTCCGCCTGCGGCACGAAGCCGCGCTCCACCGTGGCGCTCCGCTCGCCCAAGGCGCCGATTTCGGGCGCGTCCCGTGCGGCGCCCGGGAAGTCCGGCAGGTCCACGCGCACCTCGACGTCGCCCAGACGTAGAAGGCAACCGTGGCGCAGCGGCGCACCTGAGGCGAAGCTGCAACGGCGACTCAAAGCTTGCAGAAGACGAGCCGCTGTCCACTCGTCGCCCATCTAGAAGAGTTGCACTGTCCAAAGCCTGCAAGTGCAAAAGACTGGCCAAGTCTCGCAACTGCACTTTCATCCCCAGCCTCCACCCACCAGCCATTATCGTTGTGCAGCACTCGCGCATGTCTGGGGCGAACGCCCGCGCCCAGCACCGTCCAGCTTGGTGCCTGTAACTGTACACAGAACCATGCACCAATCACAAAGCCGCACTGATGAAACCTTGTGCTGATGCGCATGACCCACGTGCTGATGCGCATGACCCGCATTCTCACACTGGCATGACGCGCATGAATCCCGCAACTGGCACGTGCATGACTCGCGTGACTGGCATGTGGCACAACTCGCGCGATTGCATGGCGTATTTGCATGGCGCAGCTCCCATGACACGCGCTCGCCTTTTCCCCAGGCCTCGCCGGGCTCGCTGCCCAGGAGCAGCCCCCGCTGGTCCGCCAGCTGCGCGCTCCGCGGGTCATCACGGCGGCTGAGCGCCGCCACCGGCGACAGGGCCCAGCGCGCCTCGTAGCGCGCGGCCGCCGCCGGCTCACTGGGCGGGCACGCAGAGGCACGCAACGCGCACGACGTTTGTGCAACCAAGGCATCCAATCCCCCCCTTTCCATGCCTCTTTGACTCAGGGATGTACTCGTAGAGAACCCCGGCATTCTCTTGCCACAAGAAAAGGCGGCCCACCTGCGATCGTAAGCCCTCGCAAGTTGACGCACAGATTGGCCAAGCCTCGGAAGCCCAGTGGGTAAAGTTGCCTTGGCCGTCCTCCTTCCAAGAGATTTCCTCGTCTGGCAGGCATGCAGCAAGAGCTGCCACCTAGGATGCCGGACTTTCTGATTTAGTGAATCAACAGCTCATCTGATGCCAGGCTGCATGCCAGTCGCCGTCATCACCCAAACGATTTTCTGTCTCCTCCAGAGACTCAGTAGCGAGATTCTCCTTGTGGCTTGGTTTGGCCCCTTTCAACGGCAACAAAGCCCTGCTAACAATCCTCGGCATGGTCGGCATTGCTGGCCAGAGTCTCCTCACATGTCCTGCACAAGGTTGGTTGCTTCCTACGAGCAGCATCCCAGCTGGCAGCACAAAGCGCCAAGACGATCCTGGGTGGCTCGGCATCCCCATCGCTGCAGGGCCTCACCAAGCCAGAGACCTCCACTCGCTGCCCCACAGTGCGAAAACACCTCAAAATATGGACGCGGGCCCAACATAGGTACCCAAAATAAGACCCTGAAAAATGGAGAAACATGGGCCAAAACCTCAAAACCTGCGGTCCAATTGGTGGTTTAAATCTCTTGACCCTGCAATTTCCGTCCCAAAGCTGACACCAAATCCCAAGCGGCAGCTCCAGGCGCATGCGCTGAGCCGCCTCCCGCAAAGCCTCCAGGTCCGCGGGCTGCAAGGCCTCGCGCAATCGCCTCGCCTCGCCTCGCCTCGCCCCAAGCCCCAAGCCCCGGCCCGGCACCCAGAGAAACGTGACGCCTGGGTCAACTCGTCCCGCACCAGGAAGCTCCGGTCGCTACCTCGAAGTGGTTCTCTGCTTCTGTGTGTTTATGCGGATGCTTGCGTGTGGCTGTGTGCATATTTGTCTTGTCTTTGGTTGTCTTGGCCAAATGCAACGTCTGTTGCCAGCCAGGCAACTGTCATAGTAGGTGTCGAGCCATTCACAGTACCACAAGGCCAGTGCCTGCGGCAAAGTAGCCATGAAAAGCAACGAGACTGCGGCCGCGGCCAAGTTGCGGCCAAGTTGCCCGGTCGTACTTCCACCAGGGCAAATCCTCCACCTGGCCCGGGCCACAAGTGGCATCCTCAGCTCTGACCGAAATCCTGGAATGAGTTCAAACGGCATAATTTGCCTCCGAGCGGCACCAAGTCTTCGTGAGGGATCGGAGCCGCCCAGGAACTGCTGGAAGAGCGTCTCTTGCACTGTGTCCAGAACACTCATCCCATCGACATGGCTACACGCGGCCTAATTGCTCATGATCTGACCAGAAAAGCCAGAATCAGCACCCTGCCATCGAGCCAATGCAACTCGCACGGTGCATTGCCTATCACATGGCATGTCAAGTGCCAGTCAGTCTCAATTGGGGCACCGGCAGCCTCTCCCTGGCGTTGCACATGGCATGCAAGGCTCACGCTCCGATGTTGTCCGTGCCACACCTCCAAGGCGCACCTTACACAGCGAGCGAGACAAAAAAAGTGTCAACACCTCACACCTCTTCCAAAAATCGGCGGGACGCACGAAGGGCGCCGAAAGCCGAAAGCAGCAACCCGGCATAAGATGCCTGAGGTGTCGACGCTCGGGCGATGGGGCCCACCGCGGACTCCAGCACAGCCTCCAGATCTGAATCAATCAATCAATCAAAGAGCGCATAGATAAGCTCAAGCTCAAAAGGTCCCACTAGCGTTTGACTTCTCACTTCAGTTCATCAAGCGACGTCAACTCTGCTGCCCCCAACTTCCAAAATGTGTCAAGAGACCCTGGATTCTCTCACTTTCGTATGGCACGGTTGTCTTCGAATTCATTCACAAACACCAACCGTCACGATGTGCAATCCAACCATCCGCAGCCGCGCTCCAATCTCTGCGGCCTGACGCTGCTTCTGGGCCTCCCAAAGCAAAGTGTCGGAGCCCGTGTCAATTTGTGCAGCGGCGCCCCGCTTTTCACGCATCGAGCTCCTTGCCTCAAGAATCCGCTTGGGACTGGGTGTGTCCTCCTTTCAACCCCCCAAAACCAAGCAAAATCGGTGGCTTCCCGTTGGGTCCTCGGTTAAAACCACCCAAAACCAGCCAGCAGGCCCAAGAAAGACACACCCAACTGGCAACTTGGGCTCTGGGGCCCGGTGACTTTGCGCGTTTCAGAACAGATCCATACGATGTCACGGATACTCAAAGTGTTCCTCACTTGCAGCACGTGTCCCGGGCCCAACAAATTATTGGCAAAGATAGACTCAGCCATGTAGTGCCTCCCTCAGCACCGGACTAGACAAGAGTGGACTGAGTTTGACTCATGGCCTTTGAGCCGCATGCAGAGCTTCCCGCTTGCATGTCGGGCATTGTCTCAATGCCTGTGCACCAAAAAAATATCCGAGCGAAGCTCGCCACTCCGGCTCCCTTCGCTGCGCAGAACTGGGAAAAATGCGGGCTCAAGCTTAAGATTGGATACAGTACTTGCACCGTATCCAAAGCTGTACATGGCGTAGTCTGTTGGCCTGTGAACGGCGATGTCACCGTTGGGAGGATTCTCACAGTTCCCACCTAGGCATCCATTGTTGTAGGATGTCCCTGGAACGTCCCTCTGGTGGGATTTCTGAGGCTTTAAATTTGGTTGAGACAAGACCTGCCTCAAGGCCTGTAGCAGCAAAGCCCGCCTCTTGCCAAGCCCCGTCAGGTTTTCACGGCTTAACAAGTGATGGACGGAAAGGCTCCAACTGGCAGGAAAACACAAGCATGTTGCCATGGGCAGCATCTGATTCTGCCGATCGCTGCAACTTGTTGCGACCTGTCGGCCACCCTACGCCACATGCAATGCCCTCGAATTATTTGGGCTCAATTCTAGCGATCTACTATTTGCCTGGAGTTCACTGTGCTTTGGACTTAAAAGGCAACCATGCATACTAAGCAACCAACATGACTGGAGGTTTGCACTTGAAGATCCCGGCCAACAGAAAAGCTGAGAGTAAACTGAGTGGAAGCAAGTTCAAATCAAAGCAACTTCGCCCCAATCAGTACAAAAATGACGGCCACGCAGCCGCGAAGCAAGGCAAGCAGACGAGTCTCTGTATGAGAGTAAAGATTAAAGACTCCCAATCCACAGCTCATCCGAGCGCCATGCAGATTCATGGACCATACTAGGAAGCACCGAGTCTTGTGACCCGCACTTCCAGCATGTGCCAGGTGTTCCTGTTCACGGTTCACTCAAACGCTGCCGAGTTGTTGAAGTAAGCAGTACTCTTTAGACAACAAGGGTTCGAATGTCCTGTTCTTCACGAGAGCGAGCTGAATATATAGTGATTAGACAGGATTGAGCAGGCATATGGCGGAATGCATGCTGCGGCAAGTGGGTTACTCCACTAGCAGACCACGTCTTGGCAAAGTTTGCCTGCCAATCGAAAGCGACTGTCGAGGCTGGGGACTGCCAAAGCGCACGTCTCAGCCCATCGCAGCAGGCTCCGTTAGCAAGATTTCTGCCCTGTGCACGTATCATCGAAGGAGCTCCTGAACAAATGAGCAATGCAAACCGCGCATGCCACTGCTCGTGCTCAGCCCGATAAGCAGTCCTGGGTCAATCGCATCACATGATGTGGCACCTGAAACCCAGGCACATGCAAACGCGACATCGCACTACATTACGTTGCACGCATTACATACATTTCATACAATGCATTACATATGTTACACACATTACATAGATCAAATTAGCTACATCACATATACATTTCATGCAACCCTGCGATTCTGCGAGTAATGGCGTCTCCTTGTGCAGGGTTCGGCAAAATGACTCAGACCCAATGCTTCGCTTGCCTGGTCATTTTGCTTTGTGTTGGTGGGTCTGGTCACACAAAAACGCACAGGCACGCACATACGCATGGCATGCACATACAACCCTTGCACAGGCACATGCGCAGTTGCAACTGGGCAAATGCCAGCCAGCCAACCACCGGATGTCTCTTGTCCACCTGTGGATCCTTGCTTTTTGTGTCCCTCGAAAAACTGAGCCCAGGATGTCATTCTTCTTGTTGCTTTTCATGACTTCCACTGCTGGCCAGGCGCCGGGGAGTAGTGGAATTCCAGTGTCGCCACCAGGATGGCTTGGAGCTTGTCTGGACTCTGAGAGGAACACCACTGACCTGACTGGCTGTCGTCAAAACCGTTTTGGGATCCGATTTTGGTTGGTAGGTGAATTCACCACCCATTTGACAAATCTTATTTTAGTAGTTGGATTGGGATGGGGGTACGGGATGTTGACCCATGGCCGAATGGCAAGGAGTTTTGGAGGCTCATGGGACGCAACTTCTATAGCATCCCTGCTGCAGGGTGGAAAAACCATTCAGGATGCGCGAGTTGAAACCCAGGCGCTCACCGCAAACCAGTCCCGAAGAGGCATGGCCACCTGGTCTGCTTTGCGAGATGCCTCGGATGCATCATTGCAAAGCAATCACCCGCCAAACCAAACCTCTGCCCAGGTCAAATACCGGTTTTTCCGCCTGCCATGGACCGCTCATCTTCCAGAAACGGAGGCGCGACATGCCACTTTGGGGTCCCCACTTGGGTCAAAATCCCAAGCCCGTACCCCTGGTGAACATTCCAATCCAACCACTAAAATAGGATTTCTCAAATGGGTGGTGAATTCACCCAATCCAGCCAAAATAGGGGAATCCCGAAAAACGGCTTTGTCCACAGCCCGAGGCCGCTGCCAAGATCTTCTGCGTGCGCTCCAGGAAGAGGCCCCAGGTCCGGTCTGGGCTGCGGCCCCAGCTTGCGCGGCTCTGGCGCAGAGCGAAGGCGGCACCCAAGAGCATCAGCACCTGCCATGGTTCGGACATCTTCACACCGAAGATCGGGCCTAAGGCCTTAGAATGCGCCAGGAGACCCGGAGACTCGATACTGTGAGGCATTAGGAATTGTCGCCTCCGGGCTTTCGTGATATGGCTCGCCCAAAAGACAAGTTGACACTGAACCCAACGCCATAAACGGGGGTGTTGGCTAAGTTTGAAACATTTGGAACAGCGGCTACAAGAGAACTTTGTTGGGTCCGGTCCGCTATCTTAGGAAACACCAGCTTTCTGGGCCAGCAACATACCGCCTATTTACAAACCAAACAAGCCACTATTACCCCCTGGCAAACATAGTGGCCAAGCTTAGGCGAATATCGTCAGCCAAGACAGTTTGCAGTTTGCCGACTCGAAATTCTTAAACAACAACCCCCCCACAAGGGACCAATGAAACCTTGACATCCAGCCTGGTCTCGAGCCAGCCTACGCCGCTGGTGAAGCGGGGCTTGGCACAGAAATTCCAAGGTCTTCTCAAACCTGGCTCGGTGGCTCGCAAAACAGAAAAGCTCTTTTTGGGACCAACAAGCTTTGGACAAACCCAAGAAACCTCACTGTCTCTTTGCTTGAAGACCAAAGCTTTCACCCAAACCCGCCTGTTCGTCGTGTCACTGTCGACGGGTGCCCACACCTTGGCTTCGGGCTGCACCTTTCGAGCCCCAAATTGGTCTCTTCGGGCTCCCAGGCACGGTCGCTGTCGGCTGGTGCTTCAGGATCGGCTTGCGTCTTTGACAGGGCAAGAATCTGCCTGAGATATGCGGGTTGCATCCCAAGCGACGCGCTCAATGGAAACAACCAGCAGGTACAGTATGTTCCTGCCTATTCCGCTCCTTCAAACAGTTGCGCCGAGCAGCACAAAAAGCGTGAAAAGCACCAGCGCGTTCAGAATCACCGCCGCAAGTTTGAATGGCACACTGGTGGATACCATAGACACCCAAAAAGTCGCAGTACAGCTTGCGCCTGGAAGAGATGCTCACGCATAGCAGGCTTCACGCTGTGTTTGCAGAGCACATGTCTTACACATTACTTCATCTTTGCGCGCATGCGGGCTAGTACTGTGCATGCAAGTGGTGGATAGTTGTGACTCTGGGCAAATTCAGCAAGGGCACAAATCACGCTCAGGATTCGCCAGCACCTCACCTCGAATCCATCCAGTCAGTGCAAGGTCAAGTCTGAAAGCTCGGGCACGCACGTCACTGCAATGAGCAAGGTCGGGATGACCTCGCAGGAAGACTTGGAGCTGGTCGACTCCTCGAATCGGCAGACAACAAGCGTGCAACAGACAAGACCTTCTGTCCTCGGCCCATCTTGGGCAGGCAGAACTCCATTGGTGGCGGCAGGGTCAAGCGTCACACCAAACTTGAGCTCTGACAGCTGCAAAGCCAGCAAAAACCTGACCTTCGCCATGGTCCTCTTGTCTTCGCTGGATATCCCGACCGGACGGGCCTGCGCGCTCAACGGCCGGTAGTCCAGCTTTCGCTCGCCGGAGACCCACCGTCTTCGCATCATCTGGCCATTGAGCGGGCTGATGGAAAGTCGACTTCGAATCAGTCCTCGTGCCAGTGTGTGTGAGTGTGTATGTGTTTTTGCACGTGCAGGTTGCAGTTGCCCCTCGTTTGTTCCAGCTCCTGCTGGATCCATGTTTTGATACTCTGTGTCTGCTCTGACTTCTGCCAATAGTGCCTCTGTTCTTTCGCTCATTCCCAATGCTGTCATCCTTACTATTGCTTACTTTCTAGGCCCGCTTAAGTAGCTTCCATGTTTGGCCCAAGTTCTCTTCAGTTGCATGCTAGCCGGCTGAATCAAGCATCGAGTTGGGCATAGCCTTGCAGAGCGTATATCAGTCCCAGAGTCACTGCAACAGATCGCAGTTTCCTTGATCTCTCATAACATGTGCTTCTCACAGCTCGAACAGTGTTGCGTGTGCTCTCCGGTAGACTAAACATGCCACACTGGAATTTCTAAGACAAGGCAGATGGACCGTGATCTGGAGGATGTCCTGCGCAGTCCTGAGTATCAAACAGAGAACCATCTTACGCACGCGTGCGTATCGGGCCGCGAAGTTCGGAACAGCCCGTGACATCATCTCCTGAGCCTCCGGCCGCAACAAGTTGGAGATGGCGCCGGCATCGCCCTGCTCTTGGAACATCATCCAACCCCATCCCAGTGCCGCCCATCCCAGGCCTGGACGCCGTTTGCGCGCACAATCATGTCGCCTGCCTGCACCAAATACGGCGCCCAAGAGTGGGAGTTCCAGTCCTCGCAAGGCCAAAGGCGCAGGCGCGTCTCGGCGCGTCTGCACGGCGCGAGGCGCGTCTGCACGGCGCGTTCCTCGATCAAGCCGCCCGAGGCGACTTTCTCCACGACCAGCAAGCTCCTTGGCTCCACGCACTGGATACGCCCAACCTAAGACCCAAGCCCCACACCCCTCCGACTCAGTCTTGGCCACTATCAAGTCCACGCCCAAATGAGCATTTGGCGACTTGCGCAACTCCACCTGCAATTGCAGGATCTCCAAAACCCGAGTCTCATGTTGAAAACGCGTTGCGCCCAAAAAATAAATGTCCAACATGTCTGCCTCGAAAATGAAATCTTGGCTCGGCTTGACCTGGAATTCACATGCGCAACCCGCCACATTACCAGCTGGCACGTCACGCCCAAGGGCTCCAGCATCGTGGTGCAGAGACCTCGCCGGAGCTAAACCAGGCACGTTAGCAAAACTGGGGAGGTTGCCCAAAGGGGTAGCCCGCTTGATGCTTCTCACTTCTTTGGCCCTCCAACGGCTCAGTGACAGCACCTGGGACTCTGACATCATCCCGCGTCCGGAGCTTCCCAATGTCACTGTTGAGTGCTCTGTCCTGAAAATTAGATCTTATGCAACAATGCAACCACGCGTTTGTTTTTTGCCACGGCAGCTAGCAAGCTGAAGTTTTGCATGTGGCGTTGCGTTGCAGTCCCATGGTCACAAAGTGACCCTTTGTGACAAAACTTTTGAGTTCTGCCCCGAAAATACGGTGGTGCCAGGGGGACCACTGCACCATTCTAAATTCAAAGCTGACAAAACCCCGATGGATCCTTTTTTGTGGCACGATCCACACTTATGCGGCTCATTCAAGCTTGATCCATCAATGTGTGCGTGCGCGCGAGTGTATGTGGGTGACTTTGAGTCAAGCTCCCAATATCAGCGGATGGACATGTTTGACAAGGGTCACACACACGCTTCAATGTTTGCTGGAAAGGTGCAAAACACCTGCCTGCACGCAATGGCCCTCAATTCAGAGCCTCACCTTACTTTGCGCATGATTTAAGCAATCATGTAAAGACTGATGGAAAATCCCGTGTTGCGCAGTAAATCTCAACACTCGTCAACTAGATACACAACAAGAATATTCATTGCACTTTTGCCAACAGGCCGGCGGGTTGGTTTAGTTTTCATGGAAAAGTCGGCAACACAATACTGGCGTATGCCTCTTCGAAATGTGCAATGCTAATCCAGAAAACCAAAACCGGATTTAGGTAAGCACTAATCACTATTGCAGAACTCAAAACACATTTTTGATTTGCTCAAAACTCATGCTTGCATTGGCAACGTGGAAACTAAGACCAGCAAACGACGTCAGCTCACTGTACGAGCGCTGTGTTCCGCAAACAAAAAGAGGCAGTGCCCCAAACAAATCACAAGACAGTCTCACCAGCTGTGGTCTTTGCGATTGGCCATCTCTGCACGTGCCTAAAATGTCGACCGTTTGCATATATTAATTTAGACGCAATCTACATGTGCAAGGTTGAAAGGCGCAACTCGACGCCAATATGCCAACAAAACCCCGATGGCAACACAGAAAAACGGCGGCTCCAACTAAGTAGCAAGCTCGACATTGGAAAACACACCCGCACCCGACAGCAACGTCTGGCGAGGCCTTCATACCCAACAGGAGAGAAGACGAGTCGTGCAACATGAAACAGTAAGCCGAGTGACGAGTCGTGCAACATGAAACAGTAAGCCGAGTGAAGAGATGGCAGGCGCCAGTAAAGGCTGATCTGGCCCCAAATGCGCGGGAGGGAAAACCACAAGCCAAACACTGCTAGAGGAGCGACGGCACCGTCGTTGGACCACATGAAGCCAGGCGTGGAGGGAGAGGCGAAAAGTATTCAACTCCCGGGCCGGGAGCCATGGCAAGGCGGGCCTCTGCGAAACCTTGAGAGCACCAGGCATGATGTAGCACACTCATGCGCTCTCAGCACAAATGACACACAGCGCCACCAAGAACAGGATTGGATGGGCTACAAGTACAAAAGCGACGCAACCAGGTGCCCGCACGAAAATGACACGTCATGGCCAAAGTAGGGTCAAGCGGGCCACAAGGCAGATCCGAAAGAGGAAGCCTGTGCAGCCTGGATGCGTCCTGGTTTTGTCAGGGGCATCCCGGCAAATGGGCGCCTTCTTGTTGCGCTGTGGCCTGATCCTCCACCCACCGGCTCCGTCACTTCACCTTACGGGGTCATCTCTCCAGTCCAAATTTCGTTGGTGGCCCCTTGTCTATGGGGACCGTTTTGTTTGCGTTTGCTCACTTTTGCCAGCCCCCTGTGCGCATAACTGCGTCTCGCACACTTGCCTCCTTGTTGGCGGTTGGCTTTCAGCAATCCATCATAGACACAAATGGATTGACAGAAAAACTGAGAGAAAGAGAGAGATTGATAAAATGACAAATAGATACTAGATAGATAGATGGATGGATGGATGGATGGATGGATGGATAGATGGATGGATGGATAGATATGTGTATATATATATAACAATTCAAGAAACTATTGTCAGGGGGATTAAATCACAGATGCAACCAGCATCAAACAGGTCGGCGCACAGCGAAGCTTTGCAGACAGAATAAAAATCCAATGTGTGGACTCAGCGCAATCACACTAAGATCTTTTTCCACCGGATGCAAGGGGGATTGTTCAAGGCACTGTCCTGAGGCACATGCCTCACGAATCACCCCCACCCCTGCATTAGGGAGGGAGCGAAGCTGGGTGGGCAAAAATGCAGGCTGTACCAACGTCGCGCTTTCATGGCGAGCGCGAGAGTACCCTCCCACCCACCCTAGCCAAAGCAACGGGAATATAAACAATGTTCAATCCAAGTGAGAAATGCATGATTGCACAAGTAAAGCACAAAGCGCAACTCATGCAAGTCAAAAGGATGAGACAGCAACGGTCCAAAAATAGGACCAAGCGAGGGTTCACCAGAACACATGGAGACCAAACGCAATCCACCCTATACAATAAGGCGCTATCTCCCTACGGGAGAGATCTTGCTTATTGTCAGGGGGATTAAATCACAGATGCAACCAGCATCAAACAGGTCGGCGCACAGCGAAGCTTTGCAGACAGAATAAAAATCCAATGTGTGGACTCAGCGCAATCACACTAAGATCTTTTTCCACCGGATGCAAGGGGGATTGTTCAAGTCACCCCGCGCTTCGCGTCAAGGCACTGTCCTGAGGCACATGCCTCACGAATCACCCCCTGCTCCTGAACTCTGAGAGCATGTGGCTCAGATCTCTCAAGTCGATGGAAACTGCTTCTCCAAGGCCGCTGCATGAGGTATTTCGCGAGGGTTCGTCTGCTGGGTTCGAAGCCGTGTTGACTCTTTCAAACCAGACCACAAAAGCGTCAAAGCAATGCACTATATCGGCACCTGTAGAGTTTCTGCTGACACCCGAAATCATGGCTCCCAAAGAGCCGTTGTTGTCCGTGAAAAGGATGACATGTTTGTGTCTGAGGTGATTAGCCCAGACCTTAACACCCGCAAGCATGGCTAGGCATTCAAGCTCAAAAATGGGGTTCTTGCTTCCCTCTGTGGTCACTGCACAAACTTCTGCTGCTGTAAGCATCAAAGAAAAATGTTGCTGCACATTGGTCGTCTTAGGATCAACCAGGACCCCACCCAGGCCTCCAGGTTTCATGCTTCCAGGTTCGTAGGCTGCATCCACATACCAGTGCAGAACTTCGTTCAATGCGCAACTTATTTCACGCGGGCGACCATTCAGGAAATGATCCATCAAGAACTCCAGAGCATGAGATGTATCTGTAGCCAAACGCGGCTTCCCGGTACGAAGGTGGAGAGAGAGCGTCCTCATGGCAGCCAAACATCGCCTCCCAAAGAGCTGATTTTCGGCAAATAGCATTCGCCCTCTCAAACGCGCTCCCTCCTTGGGGTTCAAAGTTCCCTTTGTCAAATGAGCTTTGATGTCCTCATAGAGCTCGGACCGCCGACTCTCAGTGACTCTCAGTGTTCTGGAAGCGCACCAGTCCCAGTCTGTATTCACTCAGGTCGATTTCCAAGCCCAGAACTTTCCCCAGTTCGGAAAAACTGTCGTCTTTGTCTTCTGCAACATCCCACCCGAAAGCTGTGAAGAGCACGGTCACACACATGTCCGTGTGCCTGGCCAGAGCTGGTCGTTCAAACACGAAGTAGTCATCGAAATAGCAATTCCAGTGCAACATGAGAGATACCACACCAATCCTCCAAATTGCTGATGCTACACGTACAAAAGAATGAACTGATGCGCGCGACCCAAAGGGTAAAACCAGCTGCTGGTAAATCTCTGCACGACCCACTCCAGGATTGTAAACAGAGAGGTAACTGTATGCCAGAGATTCCGAGTGGAGGGGAAGCTGCTTGTAGGCTTTGGCTAAATCCCACGTCCTGAGAACACAACCCCGGGTGAGCCCCTCATCCTTTTCAGCCTGCCTGCGCACACAAATTCCTGCTCCGATGACATCTGCCGTGTGCACGGGGATTGTGTCTTCAGCAGAGGTCGTGCTGTTGATGTTACTCTCCCTGAGATTGTCAATCGGCCGGCACTTATTCTTCTGCTTGATCCCGAACCTTCGAGACACACAAGCATGCGGCAAGCCAAAGCTACTTCCCGTTGCGGGCCAGCAGCAGGCGATTCCGCAGATCATCGGCCCAGCGACGTGAAGCGCCTTGGGGCAGCGCGCGCAGGAAGTGGCAGCCCGCCGAGGTTTTGGCTTGTGACACGTCAGCCCGCCAAACTTGTCACCGCCTTGTCACCGCTCCGTTTTTCGTGCAAAAAGCGCTCAAAACGGCCAACTCCGAAAAGTTTGTTTTTTCGTGTCAGACGGCAAGTGGGATGCCTGAGCCTCAAGTTTCGCTCGTTTTCGGTCGAAAGCAGGCTCCAGACGCTCACTTTGCTCAGGATTCCGCTTTCCCGGAAAACAGGCGATTCCATCCCGCCGAGCTTGTCACCGCTTGTCACGCTTCGTTACCACTCTCTTTTGGGCCGAAAAGTGCGCAAAAGCGGCCAAGTTCCCGAGAGGGCTTTGTTCTTGGCAAGTTTGAGTCAATAATGGAACGGGCTGATTCATTAGCGGGCAAGCTTTTTTTTTTTTGAGGGGGTTTCCCAAATGGATTCTATTCCACCTGGGAGGCTCCTAGCACTCGTCCGTCCAGGAACAAGCCGCCGAACCCTCGCAGTCCCCCGAATCCCTGCTATACGTCCTGTATGTGCTATATGGGTCTTACAAGGCAAGCCGCAGAACCTCCACTCTCCCCCGGGTCCTTGCTATACGTCCTATATGTGCTATATGGGTCTCACAAGGCAAGCCGCAGAGCTGTATACTATACACATAGCATCTCAACATGTACCAAATATGCATTGTATAGAACGCGCATCTCGATAACATATAGTACATATAGGACATCTAGCAAGGAGCCCGGAGAGTGTGGGGGTTCAGCGGCTTGGCGTGTAAGAGCCATATAGCACATATAGCACATATAGCACATATAGCAAGGAGCCGGGGGACTGTGCAGCTTCAGCGGCTTGGCGTGGCTTCAATGC